CCGTAACGGCCTCTATTTTGACTATAACTTTTGATCCGGTTGTTCAATCATGCTCAAATTATTTTTGGTAGTAGAACTCCTTAATATCCATCATTAGTATAAATTTCATTGATAAACGTTGCTTCTTGGCCGAGATAAGGGGCACAGAAGACGAAAAAATGAAATTCCGTAACATTTGGCCAAGCCGAATACCATCCTAGTACTCATACCATACTGAATACCTGTTATTCATTAGTTTTACAACACAAATCTCATTCAAATGTTACGTGTTCTTACACTTTGATCTGGTCACCAGATTCAAAACACAATCAAAAAACAATTTCTCATTCACTGATTTCTGGTGCTTAACAGAACTTTAAAGTCTAAAAAATCCATAGAAGGTTTCTTAGACATCCTCATTTCTATAAAAAATAAACGCATATCGGACTCTGTCAGCTCCTACCTATAGGTGTTATCTGGAAATCAGAAAAGAAATTTTGTTTCTCTGATGTATCGTTATCGAGAGTTCCTGTGCATGGCGAAAGTCCTGAACTAAAAAACAGCCTTGAGAAAACACAAAAGAAATTTGGTGCTGTTAAATGTGTTTTACTTAAAACCTGTGTGAGCGTTAAATAATTTGTTGATACTTTGCTAAAGGTTATCGGTCATGGCGGATCTAAAGAACATGTGGGGTACATGCATCTGCTTATACAATAAAAATGCGAAAACTGCCATTTTTTGTGCTCTAGGGATTTTGGAAACCTTTAAAAAACCTATCCTATCGACACAGGAGTTATGCCATTAGAAAGTATACACTGTGAGCTATCCAACCATGTGCTTTTCTCAAAAGCGAAATTTTGGACCAAAACTGGAATTTCTGACTCAGGGAGAGGCCTTAAATATTCCTGATAGACCCTGTTGCATATGAAGAATATCATTTTACAACTCAAAAGTGAGTATCGGACCTACACTAGGGTTTGAGATACTTTTCAGAAAACTTCATAAATGAATGAATGCTTACTTATTTCTTTTTTCAATTGACTAATGATTTCTTGGAAAACTCGATTCGCACAAACATTCTAAAAGCTTTTTTTCGCTTAGAAAAGGTGACTTCGAGTCTCTTGTTTCATTAATCAAAAAACATGGATTTCTAGCTCTTTTCGTTTTTCACTTATTCAAAAAAAAACATGTCTCATGGTTTGAAAAGGATAATGATATCTCAAATAAACATCAGGTTTATTTATAATATGATTTCTTGAAAATATGTAAAAATTCTTACACTCTCCACTTCCATCCATAGTTGTATCTACATCAAACAACAGTTGTCTTGACAGCACATCAACAGGAATCAGTTCTTCGTCTTGCATTGAAAGTAAGTTTGACCATCTTTCAGCTGCATCATCACCAGTTGTAATTGGAGATAGATTATATACTGATGTCGTCTGAGTTAGATTTGAATGCTGAACGAGTTGCGACGTATGTAGAGAAGTAATAGTCGTAGTTTTTGTTGTAGATATGACAGCGGTTGTGATTGGTATCGACGTGTTCAACTGAGTATCACGTTTTGATCTTTTATGATCAGTTTTTGAAGCTGATATTGGTGTCAGTACCGGCGATGTATCCGTCTTAGCAAGACGAAATTCTTCGAATAATATTTGTTGATTTTTGTTAAAAGATTGATTATGTTCGACATTGTTGAAATCGAATAGTTCGTGAACATCACCCGATAAAACGGGGTACGAACGATTATAATAAGAACTTGACCACTCAAATTTTCTTTGGCTTGTAGCTAAAATAAATCGATAAAACGAAATAAGTGTAATTCGCAGAGAACGTCACATTTCAAGATAGTAGGTAACGTTGAATCTCTTTTAGAGACACCACTAGACATTATTTTTCTGCAGTTATCTAATAGTGAAATTTTATTCAAGTTGGAAGTTCAAAAGTTCAAAATCAAGGAGATATTTGTAAATTAATATAGGATATAACTGTTGTGAAGAACATTAATCCATTTTAATTTTAACAAAATAAGAAATAATATGGCATTATCTACCAGTGCATTGTCATACATAGTAATAATCTTACCGTAAGATCAAAAGCTCACATTTTAAGTTGTTTAATTTTTTTCTTAATATAAAAATATAAAATACATTAATGTTCTTCAGAGTGGTTATACACTATTATCTATTTTAAAAAAACCTTCTCCTTACGGAGCTGGGTTCTTTTACTAAAAGATTCTCCGTTGGCATTGACTGTTTTATTGTAAAATCCGAAGGTATAAAATGCCATGAGAAATTGATAAAAGTACCAAAATGTCGAAAAACTAAACGTAGTTATATTTTTTTTAGTATTATAAGTTGCTATCAGTTTGTGAGAGAGTACGATACGAGCGTATTTGAAATCACACAAAAATATACAGGAACCGTGTTTCAATGTATTTGAAAACATTCGAAAAACTTTCGCTCTCTTTGAGAAAATACGTTTATTTTTTCTGCATTTTAGTACTTATTTCAAGTTCTCATGGCATTTTACATCTTCGGGTTTTGTCAATACATTGTTTGTAGAGAATTCAATGGAAAATCTTTTGGTAAAAAAACTAGTTTAATCCAAAGTAAGAAGGATGAGAAATTTTGAAAATATTGAGAGTGCAATTCTTTTTGCGTCATCTGTTATTATTAATACTCTCTCTACTCAATACTCTGCTACTTTCGATTAAGCAAAACAAAATTTTTTTTCCATTATCGATCTAAGAGTCTTCTCAGTCAAATGTTCTAAACCTTTTCGTAAATGAAATCTTATTTGCTCAAGAAAACATATCAGTGGTTAGATTAGAGGTCAATTTCCACTAATGAAAAAACAAGCAGTTAAAGAAAGCTTATTTTAAGATATAAGATATTATGAAGAATTTGCATTTGCCGCAAACTCAAAAGTCAAGCACTTTCGTATTAATTGAAAAATTAATTCAGTTTGCTTCAGGATAATCATTACAATCATACAGATCTGTAACTATTGGTTTTCTTCTACTGTCCTACCGTACACAAAGTACCTATATCAGCGATATATTAGAGTCTTAGATCCAAGGATATAAACATTTTAGGATTCTATGATACAAGAATTCAAGATTCCAAGATTTAAAAATACAATTTTTTCCATTGCGAAGATTCTAGGATTCTACTCCAAAATCTTATAGAGTGACTCACTCTCATCTTATCAGTCCCTCCCTCATCGCCCTCCAAATTTGATTTTACTCTTTGAATCCTAGAATCCTTGAATCTGTTATTAAATATTGTTCTCAGGAGAAGCAGCTTTTGCTTCGCATCAAACTCTCGATTTAATATAAGTGTCCACTTGCGGCAAATGCAAACTTTTCAATATGTGAGATATAATGAAGTTCACTTTCATGCCTCTAAAATAGTTCTAAAAAAACATAAATCTTTTAGCTCTTTTGTTTCACGAGAAAATGAGTTTCAAAAATCTTTTTCTCATCATATGGAACGTTATGACAACCTATATGCCTACATATTTATATTTTAGTTACCAAAGAAAAAGGAATGAAAGTATATTTAATGCATCCTTCTGTTACATATCAGCATCATATTTTGTAATATAATACACTATAATTTGTTCAAATAATATACTTACTGTTAATGATTGATAGACCTTGAATAAATAATAATAGGGCTGCCAGCAGCAAACAGAGTATATAATTCATTATTAACTACAGATTATATAACTTCTACAAAATAAAATCGACATAGAATATTGGGAATAATTATCTTCGATTTCTTCTTCCTAAAAGGATTACGAATAACAAATGAGTAACCTCTTTTGCTTTTTTCCGAAAATTATTTTTATCAAAGCCCAATCGGACACATTATGCCAATGTTTTGAGCCTAAATCATTCTAACTCCGCTAAAACTCATTCAATAGCGGGCGGGGATAATACTTTTGTATAAGCCGTGTGACTGAAATCTCTACAAATGAGAATGATCAAAGCTAATTTCTGACCGAAAACGATTTCGGATCTACAGACTCGATTTTATAGAAACCGAACTTCGGAGACTCATATGTCGTCCCTATCATGATGATCAAAATTAGTGCCACTGATTACATATATCTACGTATGTTTATTCAAAAAACGATTGAATACATGGGGATAGCGATGATCGGTTCTAGTTCCGGTTCTCGGGTTAGAACCGAAATGAAAACAGTCACAGTGCCAGTTCCAGACTTAGAACAGAACTGTGATTCTCAGTTCTCAACTTAGAATCGGAAAATAATTTTTCAGGCAGTAACAATTCAACGAAATAGAATTTATTTTATGGTAAACGAAAGGATTCTTTTAAATGATGATAGGTAAATATATATTTTTTTAGCTTTGTCAAGAGTGTATTTTCATTTTGTTAAAAGAAAGGCAAGACATTCTCTCTCATGTAAAAGAAGTTGCACATAAATGTACCTTATGAAGGATAAACACAGCTTTTTCGAAATAAAATTGTAGTATCTGTGATTAAAAAGCTTGTTAGCGTTGTTTCTACGAAGCAAAAATGTGGAAAGTTCCTACTGAACTGTTGGAGTATAACATAGAACATATATAACATAGTAATAATATATCGTAATAATTTTGAAAACTTGTGTCTAAAAGCAGCAAATGTACTGTCTATTACTAGTCCATTCAGTAGCTGTAAACACCAAATTTATATTGAATTTGGTCAATCACAATTTGATTGTTTGTTGTTTCATCATTGTGGTGGTTACAGCTACTGATAAAAAGCCTTCGAGAAACTACAAAAATGCTCGTATATAAACTTTATACTTCAAACTTCCTTTTCCTTCGGCAAACGGAAAAGTTCGTTGGAAGTTTTCACAAAAGGCCTCAGTTCCTGGAAAGCGGAACCATATAGAGAATCGCGGTTTCGGTTCTATTGTTAGAACTAACAGTGCGGTTCCGATTCTCGATGAAGAACCGAAAATAAGAGAACCGGGGTTTGAGTTCTTATTGAGAACCGAGAACCGAACATCCCTCCTTAGGACTTTCCCTCGTCAGTATAAAATGTGAGAAAAACATTTTGCTGCTGAAAGATGAAGAATTCTTTGTTATACAGAGTCAGCATTACTTTGTGTTTACATTCTGATCCATTATTTGAGAAAGTAACGCCACGGAAAGACAGGCAATAAGTATAACAGCGATAAGCAGTAAAAACTTTAATGACTGATCAGGTGTTGAGTGACCTTTTCAGAACAATGTGAATGTTGAGAGAAGATGGTAAGTGGTGAACTATCTTTCTAACAAGCCACGCCTATTTCCACATCATCACAATAATTTTATTGTGCAATAAAAAGTAGCGGTTTCAGATAACTTGTAGAATAACTTACGTAAATTATGTGAATATGTAACATAATAGATGTTGCAGAGAAAAAATGCAATATTTAAGAATTATCTATTATTAGTGATGCATTGTTATGACAAAAAATTATTTTCAGGTGAGCATGAAAGAAACGAAGATGAGTTTTTTTTACATAAATCGTTTGATATGACACTAAACGTACTAGTAGATAATCAAGTACATTGACTTCGAAAAAAATACGATTTGGTCCATTAGTTAGAATTATGCTTTGTATCTGACCCTACTCGGCGTTGTTTTCTCAGCTAATGGATCAGAATGTGGATGCCAAATATTGTTGGTTTTGTACAACAGCACCTTTCAGCAGTAAAATAAGGTCTTCATACTTTATACTACGAGCGAAAAAAGCGAAAAATAATAATCTTATTCCAGTGATCCATTCCTAGACAAAATCCTACGTACTTTTTATCTATTTCCTCCTACGATCTTATAAGATCGTAAAGTTAGGATTTTTGTAGGAAACAGGTAAGACATGCATAAGATTTTGTTTGAGGTTCATTTATTGTATTTTCTTGTTACAGTCCTGTTTGGGCTCTAACAGAATTCTAGCTAATCCTACGACTTTCTGGTATCCCGGATCTATAGGATGTTGTTAATGTCCTATCTAAAAGTAAACTGAACTCTTGAAGGATGCAGATAGGATTTATCTAAGATCCTATCAAGAAATGTATAGGTTTCTTACTAGAGATCGGATAGTGTAGTCATACCTCTAATTTGAAGATAATAATTCCGTAGTAAATGTACTTACATACAGGTACTTGGTCGCAGGTTTTATCCAACGTTCTTGAGCTTTTTTGCAAGTAAACCTAGTACTTAATTCCTTTATCTTCTTGGAAAGTCCTTTTCCAAGCACGAGCCCAAGTAACCCCAAGTACCAGTGGCAGGTTCAACAAGTAAATCAAATACTTGGTAAGTACTTTCAGGCATTTATTAAGTAGTATTTCTTGCAAATACTTGTCAAGTGTTTGTCAAGTACATGTGAAAATTTGCAAGTAAATACGCATCCCCTCGTAAGCGCATGTACTAGGGAAGAATGTCACAAAAATAAGTAAACATTTTCTCGGAAGGCAATGTTAAGAGATTAAAAAAACGACAAAAAAAGAGGAGAAAACTATAAACCCGAATATTATGTTGTGAAGAAACGTGTTAGTAAAATCTACTGCAATAGTAATGAAGAATTATCTTACAGCTTCTGTGACTCCTATGTCTCAACACGTTTCGTTTGTTTTTACTTAAAAACTATTTGCTCTTTTCCACTAAAATGCAAGCAAGTTACCAGTTTATCTAATAAAAACTTAGTCTAAGTTGATAGAGTTCTTAACAAGTCAATTCAAGAGCAATTTGTAAGCTAGAACTCATGAGACATTATTAGGCGGTTCACTCTCACGTTTGATACCTACTCTCAGTCCTCATTAATGAGATGTTATAAACACTTTTAAACAGGAGTAATTTGAAATATACATCCTTATCAGAACGTACCGTTACTTTGGATACATTATTCATCATTTTAACATAAGAAACTGATGATTTATTGCACAATGTATTTGATGCTGTTATAAGGTATCGCTACTATATCGTTGTTCTCCCAAATTTAAACAAAAACTAGCTCTATTCGGAATCATAGAATATGGATGGATAGTTTCTATCTGCAATCTCTTATAGAAGAATATATGTTCACGGGCGAGTTGTGTGTCTCATTCTTAAGAGTTTAAGCTTACAATATATAATTCATTGGATAATGTTTTTAGTATTAAAACGTTAAATGATACTAATGTTTTGACTCATTTAATTACAAAAAAAATTAATGTATTTAATAAGAATGATAAAAAGTGGTTATCAATTTATTGGCCAATGAAGCCTCATAAGAATAGCGCCTTAATTCACGAAAATTCTTCAGAAATAAATGAAAATATATACGGATCAACTTTTGCTTTATGATATGTTCAACTAATCACATACTCGTAAAATTAAAATTCCATTATATGCATTTATTTCGCGATATTTTCTCGTATTCGTTTTTCTAC